CTGGGACCCTAGGAGGAGGACTTGGGGTGAATACCGATGCGTTGTGGAAGGTAGTATAAGGGCCCGTACTATTGGAAACACCGGATCGGTGAGCAGTCCAAGTAAGAATCCTCAGGGTACTAAAGAACAAGTAGGGTTGAGTATCGAGTGCGAGTATACTCGAACGAGTCTATGATTCTTTTGTGTTGTATTTCAGAGACATCATGGTTGGGACGCGCCACCACCTAGGAGGTAGTGGTACCAGTGGTACCAGCGATGAGGAGATTCGTAGATTGATTCACGAGGAGGTAGCTACGGCCATTCGAGCTGAGATACCAGAGATGTTCGGGTCTATCAAGACCACGTTGATCGAGACTTTTGATGAGCGGTACGCTGCTCTTACTGAGGCTGCTGTTGCTGCGGCCACCGCAGCTGTCGCTGCTGCTAGGCCCCAGGGAGGTGACTCGTTGCTGTACCGAGAGTTCAGCAACACGAAGCCACCAGAGTTTGATGGGACGCAGGACCCGATTTCTGCGATGAGGTGGATTTCTGACATCGAGGGATGCTTCTACACCTGCTTGTGTCCGGAGCATCTGAGGGTTAGGTTTGCGCTTAACCAGCTTCGCTTGGGAGCGAAGGATTGGTGGAAGTTTGTGACGGCAGACTTCACTACGGCAGAGCTTACTGCGGTAACCTGGGAGAGGTTCACCACGATGTTTTGAGATGAGTATGTTCCCCCTGTGGAGAGGGAACGTCTAGCCCAGGAGTTCTTATCCTTCAAGCAGGGAACTGAGTCTGTGACGGTGATTACGAGGATGTTTCACGAGAGGGCGTTGTTTTGCCCTGAGCACGTGTCGACTGAGCAGGCACGTATGAGCCGGTACTGCACGCTCCGATCCTTCACCCTAAACCACACCAAGTGTGGTGTTCCTGGGTGCGGTTCTGACCACCGCGCTTCCACCCTTCACCCACATCGTTCAGCCTCAGTCCACTAAGAAATGATGGGATCGTTGTGCAATGCGTTTTTAAGCACCCATTTCTTAGTGGGAAATGTTAAATATAAAAACATCGAATAAACAACATTGAGCTACACCATTTCTAAGGGAGGAGGGAGACATTCCCTCCCAACCCACTGAACCCACTGGCACATCAATTTTTTTCTTTCCTTTTTCTTAATCTTTTCCAACCCACAACACACAGAAATCCTATTTTTCTTAACTCACTCAATTAAAAAAAATACAAAACAACTAAGGTACAAGTTTTAAAACACATGGTACAAGAGAAAATGAGAGAGAGAAAGTAGAGAGAAATGATGAAGTGGGTTAGTGAATCCAATTAAATAATCCGATGAAGAAGGAGTGCGTACTGGCGGTAACTCTATTGCTAATTAAGATTTTACCTTGATTGTTTTGTATTTTTTTTTTTTAATTGAATGTGTTGAGTGGGTTGAAAAAGATAGGGTTTCCGTGTGTTGTGGGTTGGGAAAGATGAAGAACAATGAAAGAGAAAAATTGATGTGACAGTGGGTTCAGTGGGTTGGAAGGGAATGACTCCCTCTTCCCTAAGTGGGTTGGGAAATGTTGGTACCACTACACAATGTGTTTTTAAGAATCTATTTCACCATGGGGAATGTAAACATAAGGGAAAATGACCTTTGAGGGTAACTAATTGTTGCGTTTGTTCTCATTTGGCCCCTTTCCTTTTTTTGTACTCAATATACCATCGAACTTTTTGTTTGTGTTCACCATAACCCTTTTGACCGGCTTTTGACCGGCTATCACCTGTGATAGCCGGTCAAAGGGTTATGGTGAACACAAATAACAAGTTCGATGGTATATTGAGTACAAAAAAAAATGTACCAAATGAGAACAAACTTAACAGTTGGTTACCTTCCTAAGTCATTTTCACCAAAAAGTTAGATGAAATTAAAGTTGCAAAAGTATCAAAGATTGCAACCTTCTTTGGCCATAACGTACATGAAGAGCGTTTCAGAGGGGAAGCTTCGTTAAAACATGGTTTATGCTATGCTTACTGTGGTTAGCTGTCAACACCTCTCTGCAAAATGATATGACTGTGTATGAGAGGTATATTTATCAGCATAAACGTTACCTCAAGGTATATTATCGTGATGTGTCTGCAAAAGCTGCATGATCTTGTATATATTGATGTTGTATCTTCTCCCATGAATTCGATCTTAAAGCCACGTAAACTCAAAAATCACAGCACTTGTGATTCCACTCGTTTGTAGACTTGTCCAGAATCCATGATACGATAAATCATTTGATTGAAATGTAAATGTAGTCATGAAATGCACCTGATTAGTTAAGATTCTCCTAATAAATATTCAAGTGCATTGCAAAGTTGTACATGTATGAATAACGTTCTTTCGTGGGTTATGGTTTGCAGAGAAGCAAAAATGAATCTCATAAAGTCATTAATATAAGCAGGAGATGACGTGAGATTTTATGTAAATGAGTAAAGGAAAAATGACTCAGGAGGGTAACCAACTGTTGAGTTTGTCATCATTTGGTCCCTTTCATTTTTTTGTATTCAATATATCATCAAACTTGTTGTTTGTGTGCACCGTAACCCTTTGACCGGCTATCACAGATGATAGCCGGTCAAAAGGGTTATGGTGAATACAAACAACAAGTTCGATGGTATATTGAGTACAAAAAAAATGAAAGAGAGCAAATGAGAACAAACGTAACAGTTGGTTACCCTCAAATGTCATTTTCCCTAAACATAAAAACAATAACATATAGAAACAAAAATGCATTTTGCAGTCGTTAGACCGTTTCTCAATTGATCCGTTTAGAAATTAGGTGGCTAGTGGACACATCATTTTTAGTAACCCATTTAGAAATTGTATGGTCATTGAGAAATGTGTTTTGAAAGACATCTTTTTGACCATTTTGCAAGTCTACGACAGAAATAGGAAAACAACGTCGTTTTGACCATTTAACGAGGTCTCCATTTGAACATTTCATAACGTCATCTCCCATTTCTCATTAGTCTATCTTAATGTAGTATATCATAGCCTAATTAACATATAAGTTTTTCATTAATTTTATTTAATAAAAAATATATTTTAGAAACATTCTCTAAATCCAAAGTTCTTTCAATAACCGTTTACAATAAAAAAAAATTTAATGAAATTTTAGCATTATGGTGCTTTTTCAGTATCTTCTTTTTTCCTTTCAACTCCTTTCACCTAAAATTAACAAATATTATTATAACTACTCAATAACGTGAGATTTGTTTTTTGTAATATAAGAGTAAATGTATACAATACTTTATCGAGAGAGATATCCATTACTCATACAAATACTAAAAACACAACTTGCATTATCTTTCTACTTTTGCTTCTGCCTCTTTGTAACATGATCATTTTCTTCCATGGCCTTCAATTTGTTCTTTATTGCAGCTATTTTTGCACTTCGGGCCATTTGACCCGACCCGTTACCCAATCCATTTGACTCGCTACCACTACCACTACCACTTGATTTTTCAGTCATTTCCATCAAGTACTTCTCTTTAGCAAGTCGCACTACTAAAGGTCTTCCACATGCCAATTTCCCATGCATCTTCTCCTTGGCCAGTTTAGCTTCCTGCATACTCACTTTAAATGAAAAAAATAAGAAATTTGTCAAACCAATATACAACAAGGCCCCGTCTATTAACAGGTTGTACTGTGTATGTCACGTGTCATAAAGGGCAGAACAGGTTGTACTGCATTTGATATGTACTGACTGATACCAATGAAACAAAAGAATTGAACGGTCTATAAGTTACCTCCATGGTGCTGAACTGGACAAATGCATAGCCACGTGGCTCGCCGCGTTTTGGGCCACGAGTATGCCAAAGGAAGTCCTCAAACACGATTTTTCCAAATGGAGAGAACATTTTTATGAGAGCGCCTCTGTTAATCATCAAAATGAATTATAATTTAAAAAAAAAAAAAATTTGGGTATGTATTAAAATGTTGCTAGGAAAGGGTATGTATGTCTTTGTTTACTCTGTTATTCTCATATCAAGGTTGCCTACATATAGTCGGCTTTCACTGTTTCCATCAAAAATGATATTGTTATCTTTGTCCTGCATAAGTAATTACAGGCATTAATAGAATAGATTTTGTATTTTGTGATATGAAGATAATGAAAGCAGAAAGCATGATATGATACTAACAGGACAGAAAAGTTACCATCTACAGGAAGTGATCTTGATGACAATCCTGCTAAGTGCTTCACTCCAAAAAGCTGCTAATTCCCTCTTTATAGTTGTTTCCTTAAGTTGTTTTTTTTTCTAAACTTTAAGTAAACTGATTAATGATGTGGTGGTAATATAATGAACAGAGATAGATGAACTTATGATTTTAAATTAGCAACTTCCCAACACATATAGCACGTATAAAGAATTTGAAAAAAAGAATTAACTACGTCAGCCATATTAAGCAGCTAATAAGTTCACCAAAGGAACATATATTAGCCATATTTGTAGTTAGTAACACAGACAACATTAACAACGAAGTCAAACCCACGAGCGATTAACAATCCACAGTCACTTTCACTCGATATGTATTATTCTTTCAATTAGACCGAAGCACGATTCAGAAAGAAAAGAATTTAAACATGGATTTTTGTTGAAATTTAGCACAGAAATTATTCTCTTCATAGATTCGCAAGCTATATGAACCTCATAGTTAGAACGTGTGAATTGCTTGATATATTGGATATCACAGTGCTGCTATATATTTCTTTCGACTGATGGATTGCTATTTGAACGTCAACATGATCAGAATCGTGCTTATTACAAATTAAAAAACAGACTAGAATACATGAAACCCTGGCATTTTTGTCAATTATACATTTGCTCCATAAATCCAAACAGAAATCTAATCGCATAAATATTAAACTTATGTGCGTAACAAAAAATTGGTTTCGCGAAAATTACCTCAATCGTTAAACATTTAAAGAGGAATCGCGAGCTCGATTGCGTCAGCTAGGGTTCCATATGCTTTGAGCAGATGAAGGCCAAACGGGGTGCACAGCTCTTATTTGCTGCATCTGTTGTCTGTTGACGACCCCGTTTTAATCTTTGAACGGGTTGGACTACCAAATGGGCTGACAAACATAAGCCCAAGATGAAAGTAATCATAAGATCTGTGGCTTATAGTTAAACTTGCATAACAACAAAGTATAGGTGGACAGAGTAAACTGGTTTTATTAACCGGTCAAAAGAATCAAACTTTTTTAACAGAGAAAATTTGGTAAATGACCAAAAAAAAAAGAGGGGTTCTTTGGAAAAAATGACTATGAAAAAACGGATTTCGGAATCTGACCATAGGATTCGCAGAGCACTCTCTGCGGATCGAGTAATCCCTCTGAGGAAATGGAACACCTCTGCGGATGTTGAGTTTTTTAAATTTTTTTTCGTTTTTTCATTTTTTTTTTCGTTTATTAATATTAATTTTGTTTTTAATCACATAAGGTATATGTGATTATTATGTAAAAATTTTGACAAAAAGAATGATAAAAATAATGAACTTATGTTTAATATCAGTCCACATAACTGTTTAAGAATCCACAGAACTGTTATCAGTGGATCAGTGTACACATCTGCGGATCAGTGTACACATCTACGGATCAGTGTATAAATTGTCATACCGGTTAAATATTGTATCAACTCACCCCGGTATTGAAAAATATAGAAATGGCCTCCAATGCACTAACTTCTACGAATGCAAATATAGAAATTTGAAGATGAACTCATATTATAAATAAAAAAATGCAACTCTTTATGAAAAATTCAACGAGCATCTATAACTATTTATACACTCTTCAACTCCTTAGAGCTTTTTGTCAGTCCGCAGTGTTGTTTGTCAGTGCGTAGAGCTATCTTTAACCAATAATTGTGATCCATATATTACAATTTTTTATTAAAAGGTAAATATTAATAATTAAAAGATACATATTATTTATTAAAATATAACAACGTCAACGAACCAAAACTAAAGTTAACATAAAAGTAAATAGAAACTAATATTAGTTGTCATCCATGCATTACAATTCAAGTAAATTGTCGTGGAAGTAAGACGACAACACTTTCAAATGGTATTTCCCAATGCATAAGGTTTGGAATAGGATTCACCATCTCAGTTTGATAAGCATTTCGATACACCGCAGTAGTTAACTTATAATTTACCATAAGTTGGATTTCTTCAATTTCAAGCCTTTGTAGTGATGCTATAGTGTGATAACAAGGTATACCGCACTTTTTCCATTTCCCGCAAGTACAAATGCCACGATCTAATTGCACGGATTCGGTGGTTAAATACTTACTCACTTCATATCTGTCGCCAACAATATGCCTAACCCTACAACCATTGGAGTTGATAAATCTTTTTTGAAGCACCTTAAGTGCATAAGGGGTCAGAAGACCATGAAATTCCCATGTGAAATTAACTGAATCATCAAATAAAAATTACGATGCAATAATTTATATTAAACATATCATTATTACCTCCGAATACAACACGTTGACCATACACTCCTTGCATGAAGTCATGGACCATTTGAATGTTGTTATTGGTAACTCATGCTTGTTTGTCATTATCCAATTGACGACATCGGGAATGTCAACGAATTTCACATTGAAACGTACTTTAGGGAAAAATGCTCGTACCCATTTTGCAATGGCAATATTGTCAAGCCAGTGAAGATCATTCTCATTCACCTCATTTTGTAAGGTGTTCAAACTCCCATAAAAATCAGACACATTATACGTTTTGCATGTCTTCCATAACAACTGCTCCACAACTGTATTGTTTCCGGTGGAAGCCCGTATTTTCTCAGCTATATTTTTACAACAATAACCATGATAAGAATCAGGATAGACTCTCTGTACTGCGAAGTCTATAGAGTCAGACATATGACTTATGAAACCAACTTCCATACTGTCACCTAAACATTCTTTCAGCCTCCTCATGAACCATACCCGTGACTTGTCACAGTTTATGGTTCCCAAAGCAACTGCTATAAGTAGGGGTTCATGATTTCCATCTAAAGCAACCGCAATGTACATGGATGTTATGTAAGTCCCAATTAGAGGTACGTGACAAACGAATATGATTGGTATCATAGACGTGAGAAACGTACAAATCTGCAATAAAAGATAAGAATAGTAGCCAGTTAACAACTTCAAATAACCAAAAATTTAGTATAAATGATTACATACCACGCATCCCAATGCCACAAAACAAAATTGGAAACGATCGTACATATCTTTCTTAATGCACGTGAAGGTGTAAGGATTGGTTATTTGCAAATTATGAAAGAAAATCGGTAGGTTGGAGAAACTTTTTTTTAACACCTCATTGAAGGAACTCATTTTCACAAATTTCCACAACTTCTCAAAATTAAAAGGCTTGTCCAATTTAAATGAAATCTGTATCCATTAATCCGTAGAGCTGTTTGCCAGTCCGCAGAGCTGTTTGTCATTCCGCAGAGTTGTTTGTCAGTCCGCAGAGCTGTTTGCAAGTCTGCAGAGCTTGTTGTCAGTCCGTAGAGCTGTTTGTCAATCCGCAGAGTTGTTTATCATTTCGCAGAGCTGTTTGTCATTCCGCAGAGCTGTTTGTCATTCCCCAGAGTTGTTTGTCAGTCCACAGAGCTGTTTGCAAGTCTGCAGAGCTTGTTGTCAGTCTGCATAGCTGTTTGTCAATCCGCAGAGTCGTTTATCTTATTTAAATCATCATTCATTCTTCAATAAACTTACACCTTTATTCTGAAATGGCCACTAATGTACCAACATTTTCAAATGCAGCGACATCAGCCGATGCTCCACGTCTATGGACGACAACATAGGTGATGGTCCTAACACGATGTTGGATGAACGTTAACGAGGGTGTGACACCAATAACTCTGCCTCATTGCCTTGTAGGTGATGAATAGACCCGCATAACAGGTTTGTTCAACCATGAGATGGGAGAAGGACAACACCGCCTTAAAGAAGATGTTGTTACTAAGTGGATGGAATTAAAGGAAAAAGTCACATGGTTCAATCGATGGTATAATTATATTAAAAATATGTCACGTTTTTACGTAGACGATGAAGAACTTTTACAGGTTGTTAAAGAGCATTACATGATGGAGCGTGATGGAGTGAGTTCGAATATGATGACGTTTTGAATGTAGTGTAAAAAAACAGTATTTCATGTAGACTGTAATATTTTATGCGTAATGTTTGCTACTTCTTTGTCTTATTATTTGTAAGGGTTTTCTTATCTGTTTCCATGTATTTGTAGTGTTTGTAGTTTCTGGAATAAAGTGTTTGTATTTGTTTCCATGTATTACGCAGACGATGAAAACAACCTAATAAAAACCAATTACATAAAAATAACCTTATACAAAGCAGTACATATAAATAACCTTAAAATAACCAAATACATCTAAATAACCTAATAAAAACCAACTACATCAAAATAACGTACTACAAAAACATTAAAAGTACGGGAGATCTTTTATAAGATTCCAAGGGGCTTCATACTCGAATTCCGACCCATCGCTAATGGATTTGTATTCCTCTTTCGCCGCCTCCAAGATCACTTCATCGTCTTCATTGAGTCGTTCATCATCAATTTTGTTATAAAGATCGTTGAATAACAAAATTTTTGTTTTTACTTCATACCATTTAGTTGTGACAGCAACGATGTTACGATAGTTTCCTGCAGCGGTTTGAGATCAGCGTTGTAGGTATAAGTTAAACGGGTCGAAAAACTTGGATCATTCACACCGATGCTCTCGTACACAGTAATATACGCACGTGTTAGACGTACGATATCCTCAGCACTCAATGGTCTGGAACCCATTGTGAGTGAAAATTTGATGGTGTCCAGAAAAATGAATGAAAGAAATGATGAAAATTAGATGAAATCATACGCATACTAAAGTGAATTTATAGTAAAATATTAGTACTGCGGATCGAACACTATTTGATACAGAGTAGACGAAACAGTATTGCGGAATTAACAGTAGTTTGCTGCGGAGTTGATGAAATAGTAATGCAAATCGAACTAGTGTTGCGGAATTAATAGTACTTTGCTGCGGAATTAACAGTACTTTGTAGGAATACTAGCTTTTTTGTCTTATACAAACTTCATAATAAACACATTTTAAAATAAACATCATTCATTCAAACTTCGTAAAAAGTTGCATTTTTTTATTTATAATATGAGTTCATTTTCAAATTTCTATATTTGCATACGTAGAAGTTGGTGCATTGGAGGCCATTTCTATATTTTTCAATACCGGGGTGAGTTGATATAATATTTAACCGGTATGACAATTTATACACTGATCCGTAGAGGTGTACACTGATCCGCTGATAACAGTTCTGTGGATTCCCAAACAGTTGGACTGATATTAAACATAAGTTCATTATTTTTATCCTTTTTTTGTCAAAGTTTTTACATAATAATCACATAATACCTTATGTGATTAAAAAAATAAAAATATTAATAAACGAAAAAAACAAAAAAACAAAAAAAAAATTAAAAGTCATTTTTTTTCAAAGAACCCCTCTTTTTTGGTCATTTACCGAATTTTCTCTTTTTAATAACACGAAAAACAGATATGAATATATTTTAAGACAAAACTAACTATAAAATGATTTTAATGGTTTATCAAATGTCAAAAATTCAGTCCTTATTAATTTTTTTGGATGAACATGGTCTCTGTGGTTTTCAAAACTTGCATGAATGACCCTTTTTGCTGACGTCGTTATTGTTCATCTGTTAGTGTGACAGTATTTTGGTCTTTTCAAGTAACAGAGACTGAGTTTATGACAATGAGTAAACCATATGGACCATTTATGTAATATTTTCTATGTTTTATGTGTATATGTTTGTGACTTTTCCACTTCTTTACTTTTTAAAATATCATTTGGAACCATTCACTTTGAACTTTGAAAAATGTTACTTTCACCCCTCTATTTTCAAAATATTTATGTTTAACCTCGTATTATATATAATTTGATTTTTATTAATAACTTATGTTCATTAACCTAA